AAAAAAAAAACAATTTGTGAATGCCCATATATCACTTCATTTAAAAAGGGAAAACCTACCAAAATGCCCAGAACTTTTGTCTGGATATTGTTATGGTTCTCGAAAAGTCGCAAAATGTCAAAGGAGATGGCTATGCCATTTTCATGTGCAAAAACTACGCAAGTGGCAGGACAGTCATCTAAAAGTTGTACGCTAACTTCATGAAGAATCGCTAAAAAATAAGAAAAAAAACTCGCCTGTAAGATTCCAAAGAGCACTCAAAGTAAATTTCAAAGTGTAAAGCGAATTCTCCGCTCGCACACCATTAGAACTGCGAAAGTGGTCTACAATTTGGAAATCATTTCCAATAAGTGCTCACTGGGGTGATAGAAAGATTACAAAGTGAACGTACTCAAATTCTGCTCCATGAGATGTACAAGATGTTTTACATAACGTACATCGCTCGCTAAAACACGAGCATCCTGTGACCGCATCTTTGGTGCAACTATCGAAACAATGGCAATTGTCATTCTAAAAAATATTTTCCTTTGGAAATTAGTTTCGAGCTTTTAGGCAAAATCACCTCGAAACTCCAGCATCGCTGTTGATTAGCATGCTTTCGAGAGCCACTTTGCAAGTACGATAAAAGTTTATTCCAGAAAGTTGGAGAAGATAATCGTTGCATATAGTCAGCCAGACATTCTTTTGCAACTAAAATAAAGGGAAGGAAAGCAATCTTTTCAGGAGATGGAGAAAATTTTGCTTTGAACGGCCTCTTACCTGAGTTGTCTCCGGATATGTCTCGGCAGCATCAAGACATCGATCAACGCATTTCCGAACGGCCGAGATGGAAAGTCTCGAAATCCGTTTCAATCTAAATATCAAATGGTGAAGTTAATACCTCTTGAAACATTTCAGCCTAAAATGACATCAAATTCCAAAGATACAGGTTTTGTAGGATTTGAATTGCTGTAAATAAATTCTCACTTGCAGAGATGATACAAACAGGCACTTCCGGCCATCTGAACGCCAAGGTTGTGTAGATGTTTGCGTAACGCTGCACATACAACAGCAGCGCATTCAGCTACTTCGCTATCAGAAAAATCGTCATATCCACTTTGCAGCATGTAGTAAACGCAATGTAATGCATGAGCAGTGAAAGCATCCCTGAAACAGAAACTTATTTTCAAAAGTAAAACTAAACCATTTTTCATAAATGCCACAAGCTCACAAAAATTGCAGCAGACCTGTCAGTATTCCAATAGTCGCTTAAAGCCATAACAGCTTGTGTTCTTGTGGCGCAGTTGATAATTTTTACATCACGTTCTACCGGCGGAACGTACGAATGTCCATCAAGAGGTGTGGCTAAAGAAGACATTTGATGTTAATGACGTACGCGAAAGAACTGTTAAAATCTAACAACTTCTGCCCAACATGCAAATCTTGAAGGCAGAGAAAAGAGGTTAGTTAGCAATAAGATAGTGATTTTTATATAGGATGACAGACAACGCTGTTTAACGAACTTTTCTAGATGAAGAACTAACTGATGCTAAAAACCAGCTATGATATGTCAGTTTCGAAAATGAAAAAAGGAGTAAAATCGTAACAAACCTAGAACCGAAACTCTCTCAAGACGCGGATTTCTCTCTAAAAACAACGATACGATATCAGCAGCACGGTCAATCCCCGTATTAGCTAGGGAATTTCCCGCAAGATCTATAGACATCAGCTGCGGCCAACAAGCTTTTGGATCTTCTCGCATTATTTGAACCATTGCAAGAGGTAGATCCACGCATGATTCTTGTGAACTAAAACATTTCCAATCAATCCCGATAGGTTAAAAAACCAACAAAAGGATTTGGCTGAGAAAAAAACACGAAGTTTAGACCTGTCGGTGCCATAATCTGTGACTTCTTTAGAAATGTCCAGAACACGCAGACCATTCAAGCCGCGCAGCGTTTCTGTTACGTAACCGGATCGGATGCGAAGATTATGCATTAGCAGTGCCTCCAGGTTCCTGAGATAAAAATATGATGTTACAAAAAA